ACCAGAGTTGCCAAACTACTAACATGTATGGCTCGAATGAATATTCTCATCTACATCTCATGCCTGAGAAACTCCTATATTCCACTAATTCATACAACAACATTAAGTAGGGTCAGCTTCATGAGTCATTTTTCTGAATTGTGCCCTCTTGTCATATTTTTATTTAAATCTAACAGATTAAGATCGTTTTTTTTTTATACAATATGCCCAAGTCTTTTCAGTTTTGCCTCTGTTTTTCCTAACATAAATGAAATCTAAAACATACATTCTTCTAACAGGATCAATATTTTTTTTTTCTTTTTCTCTGAGAATTTTTCTTGAACTTATTTTTTGTATGTTTGATCTAAGGTTAGTAATTACCGATTTGTTTGTTCTTGCCTCTTCTTCGATCTAGAGGAACATTCAGAGGAAAGAATTTTGAACACTGGTTCTATATTTTTCTTATTTGAAAGATTTATACCAATGGAAATGCATATGTTTTGAGACAAACTTGAAGGTTACATGACAGATAAGTTAGCAGCATCTATTTTCTCATATGATCATTCAAGAGAAGTTATGAAATGATAGATATATGAGTATTGTTTCCCGGTATTTCTGTGAATTTTTCTTGGACATTTTTTATATGTTTGTTCTCACGTTAGTAATTGTAGATTTATTTGCACTTTCCTCATCTTCAACCTGCAGGAACATTTTGGAAGAAGAAATTCGAGCACTGGTTTCATTTTTTTTGTATTTGAAAGATTTATACAATTGGAAATGCATATGTTTTGAGGCAAACTTCAAGGTTACATGGCTGATAAGTTAGCAGCATCAATTTTCCCTCCTAATCATTTATAGAAGTTAGGGAATTATAGATATATGAGTATTGTTTCTCGGTATCCCTAAGAATTTTTCGTGGACTTATTATCAATTTGCTTGTTCTTTGCTCATCTTCAGTCTACTAAAACATTTTGGGGGGAGAAATTTAAGCACTGATTTCATTTTTTTTTATATTTGAATTTTTTTTACCATGAGAAATGCATATGTTTTGAGACAAACTTGAAGATTACATGACAGATAAGTTGGCGAAATCAATTTTATTTTCAAATCATTCAGGAGCTATAGAAGGCTAAATATATGAGCAATGTTTTTTTTTGTATCTCTGAGAATTTTTCTTGGACTTATTTTTTTTAGGTATGTTCACATGTTAATAATTGTTGATTTGCTTGCTCTTATCACTTTTTCGGTCTAGAGGAACATTCAGAGGAGAATTTTGAGCATCGGTTTCTTTTTTTTTTATATGAAAGATTTATACCTTTGGAAATACATATGTTTTGAGGCAAATTTGAAGGTTACATAACAGATAAGTTAGCAACATCTATTTTTCCTCTTGATTATTCAGAAGTTATGGAAGAATAGATATGAGAGTATCGTTTCTCTGTATCTCTGAGAATTTTTCTTAGAATTATTTTTCATATGTTAGTTCTCATGTTAGTAATCGTCAATTTGCTTACTCGATCCTTATTTTCAATCTACAGGAACATAGTGTGATTGAAGCAGAGAAAAATAATTTTTGATAACTTATCTGGCATATAACATTCAAGTTCGCATCAGAACATATGCAATTTCAATGGTATAAATCATTCAAGTAAATGAAAATGGAACCAATTCTCAAATTTCTCCACCCTGAATGCTCCTCTAGATTGAAAAAGAGGCAAGAGCAAGCAAATTGATAATTACTAACATGAGAATAGACATATAAACATAAGTTCAAAAAAATTCTCAAAGAAACAGAAAAACAATACTCATATATTTATACTTCCAAAACTTATGAATGATCACGAGGGAAAATAAATGTTGTTAACTTATCTGCCATGATTTTCAAGATTTATCTGATATTTTGCTTCAGATGGTTTTTGGAACTGTTGGTTTATTGGTTTTTGTTTGCATTGATGATTTTGGAGTATTTCAGTGACACATTAACTTTTATTGTGAAATGTTTTGTAGAGCAATGATGAAATAAAAAAAAAATAAAAGGCTCAACAGATTACCAATTGTGAATTGAAAAAAAAGGTCCTACGATTTTGACACGTATACCTCCTGCTCTTTATGTCTAAAGTACACAATTGGTGATCCTGGATAGAACCCTTTTTGATATCATGGTTTTGATTATGAGCTCTACTTTTAAATCCTCTTTACCATATTTGTTTTCTCTTCATGTATTGTTGTTTTACTTGTTAAATAATGTAGTTCTAACACTATATCTTATTTATTTATATACAGATGGGTAAACAAAAGGAATGTGGGATATCTGTTATTTGGGATAGGGAGACGTAGATAATTTTATGTGATTTATGCTTGAGGGAAGTTAAAAATGTCAATAAACTAACCACACACTTCAATAAGAAAGGTTGGCAAAATATCACGAAACACTTTCAGGAAAGAACCGATAGCCTATATGACAAAACTCAATTGAAAAAACAAATGGCTTCAAGTTAAAAGGAAAGAAAGTTGTGGAAGGAGCCAAAGAAGGGGCTACTGGTTTAGGGTGGGACCTCATTATGAAAACAATTAATGCACCAAATAAGTGGTGGCAAGAGACAATTTTAGTAAGTAGAAAACCTTACATTTAATAGTAATTAATTTAAAATTTTGATTCTTAAAAATCAAGTTTATCAATTGTAGATCCTGTCGAACGCCAAAAAATTTAGACTTGTTGGTATTGACCTGAAGCTGGAGGAGAAGCTAGATAATATGTTTCTTGATGTTGTGGCAATAAGCATCAATGTTTGGGCTACAACAGAGGAGCCCACCCTGAATTTAGATGAGTCCAAATGTGTTCATTCCAATAAGGTCCACAAGGAACAACCAGAGGAAAGAGAGCAAGGGAAGTCCAGTCAATCCAAACGTCATGCACCCTCATCACAAAAAGGCAAAAGAAACTAAGGTTGGGGAGACTAACTTATCCCAAACTAAGGTTGGGGAGACTAACTTATCCCAATAGATCTCACAGCTGATGACAAACTGCACCAGTATCACACCTAGTGCCTACACAGTCCTGCATGCATACCCAACTATGGCAGATGGTTGTTAAGCTACTCGACTCTATTCCAGAGATTTTTTATGGCATGCCCTTCTACTTATTTTATTTGGCATGTTTTGATTTTATGCCCTTCTTGAGGATTGAAATAAGCTGGAGGTTTTCTTTATCGAAATAGAGGATTCCTTATCTCCATTATTTCTTAAAGAAACGGACTAGCTAAATGGCATGCCCCTCTATATTTTTATTTTTTGCTACTATAACATATTGCTTATTTGTAATAATTAACATTTCCATCGTGAAATATGGCTAGTTTCAACTACTTCTGACATTTCAGTATTTTTGGATTTATGTAATTGTAGTGCTTTCATTATGCATAGTTTAAGAATTTACCTGTTATTTAAGTAACACATTTTTTTAAAACATGTTAAACAAACCTCTTTCATACAAATGGAACCCCCAAATGAAGAGTATATTATAGAGATAGTTGAGCGAACAATTATCATTATCACCATATTTTATCTAATTCATGGGTATTACCAGAGAAATCTGTGGAAGGCATCTTGTGTGTCATTGACATCTGTGGGTGATTAGGGTTAGCAAACTAATAGAAGCTCATCCAAGCAAGATTCATAGTATGTTCTGGACGTTGAAAACTATATTATGCGATTTACTGGATGAATTGCAATTCAAATATAATTTGCACTAATCATCATGATTTACATCCCAAGAAGTTCTAACCATCACGTTTTTCACAATGATTGTATTCCTGTTGTTTCTGAGTGTTTTCAACACTCTACAGAGAGAGACAATTAGCAGGTATTTCCATATCGAGGTAAACTTTCTAATGAAAATGTCTATGGACATTATCAAACCATTGGACCCAACCTTTGCACACACCTCGAAAAATCCATGGCGTTTTGACATACCTGTCGTTTTTTAAGGTATTGGCCTCTCTATATATTTTAATATTACTACAATAAAGAAAATTTATTAATAAATTATGTTGTAACACTTTTTTTAATAAAAAAAAATTGCATCGCAGCAACTAACGACACGCATGTCGATGCTTGTATTTGCAACGAAGAAAAGATCACATATATCAAAAGCAGTAGGGCCGCTACACATAATAAATTAATAGTTTGTGATTTCTACATTCGTAATGGCTGGTTGAAAAGGGAGTATACACGATGGCAGATTATTTAAAATATCAAAAGGAGTAGGGCCGCTACACATAATAAATTAATAGTTTGTGATTTCAAAATTTCTACATTCGTAATGGCCGGTTGAAAAGGGAGTATACCCGATGGAAGATTATTTAAATTTACAACCCAACGATGTGAATACAAATTGTCAATGCCTTCTCAAGATTGGTACATTTTAGCCGCTACAATATTTCCATTTGAACTAGTCCACTAATGTAATCATTATTCAATAAAATATGATCTAATTGATTTGAGATATTCATTGCAACGGAGTTTTTTGAATTCTTTTCCGTATACGAGGTATCACCTTACTGATTTTGAGGGCAGCAGTCAGATGATTAGAGGGAGGAATGAACTCTTCAACAAAAGACACTCATCATTCTGAAATGTCATCGAGAGAGCTTTATGATTGGTCCTGATAAGTTGCTTCTCCAGGAAGCAGGAAAAGTAACGGCCGCCCCAAATGCACCATAAATTTGCAATCAATTACTGATGTCTTTGAAGATCATTGTCCTAGAATTACAAGTTCGGAGAATTTTTTTTTTAATTTTTCCTTTGAGGAACATTGTTACATTTCTTAATTCAAACTTATCCCAATTCAAAAACACATATATATGCATACACCCAATACCTAAAACTTTGTGAGGGCATTCTATTAATTTTATTATATTTTTTTTAATAATTTTTTTGGGAGTTAAAAATGATTATACTATCAATAGCAGTTTTTAAGCTCATCAAAATCCCATCAGTGATAGCAAATACCAAGCGAGCTCATCTACCAAAGAAAACAGGCTATAAAAACAACAGTTCTCTCGCTAAGCACACAACTGAACTCTTTCTTCATCATCAGCTGAAATCCAAGCAACAATTCACTAATAAATTCTCAAGGAAACAAAATGTGTGAGTGGCACAGGTGCACCTGGAAGAACAAACCTTTTCACAAATGAAAGAAGAGGCCACTAGTGCTTACTAATTCAAGGTGTCTTTCTCCGGCCGCTGGTGCTGCTCGGGCTTCTTGGACTGGACTCGCCGGAATTTCGCATTTCTCTTTGCAATGTCGCCACACCGCCTTGAGGCCTCCTGGGGGAGGATTCCAGGTTCAAGTCTCTGTCTAATGTGATGCTCTCTTCCATCAAAATCCCAAGCTGTTCATCAGCAGAGAAGAAGAACAAGTTTCAACTCTCTCCTTAGCATTGCAAATCCAACCAGAAAGATCAAATAAAACTCACCCTTGTCTCATTCTCTCTCAAACGATCCTGAAGCACTTTTACAGCAGGGCTCAAACTGCATACAAGGATGATAAATCATTCACAAAACAAAAATAAAATAAGATAATATGAGAGTAAAGTGTCAAAATAGTCTTCTGTACATTTCCATGAGGTCATTTTAATCCTAAAGTTTATAGAAATGTCAAATTCGTCTCCGTGGTTTTTTAACACACTGAAATAGTCCTCCGTAGTCAAGAAGAGCTATTTTAGCCTCGTTAAAAAAGTATAAGAACTAGATTGACACTTATAGACTCTGGGACTAACATGGCTCCTTACAAAGTATTGGGACTATTTTGCCACTTTTCACAATAATATAAATATGTTCTTTATACTCTTACCAATACTCCATCAACTTGCACAATGACGCCTGATAGGTTGATGTGTGGTGTATATAAGCGAGCGGGTGTATCGTCCCATCGCTGAATAAATTCCATAAAAATTCAAATCTTAGGACAAAAGTTCGAAAAAAGTGATAATGGCCAGTGTTATCGTGTAAATAACCACTACCGCATATTTTGTAGTAGGGCCTGTTTATAAGCGGATTGTTCTTCTTGAAATAACATATGTTGCATCTCGGTGAATGACGTTAAAGGGGATTCAAGCTTCAGTAGAGCTCTAGTGGGCAGCACAATTAACGGAACTTCAGTCCTGATATACTCTGCGCCACTGTTAAAGCATAAAGAATGCCTCATCAGAGCAAAATTTACACTTACATATAAAAAATGCTCTTGGAGAAAACTAGCAGGCTTGCAAATTTATCCTTGAAAATGTCAATTGTGAGATGAAGAAGGTAAAGGGAGCATTTAATTAATTTACACGATCAGAAATAATCAACAGCAATCAACTCAATGAAGCATGAAAAAATGGCAATTCTATTCATTAGAATATTTGATTTTACAGCCAACCATCAATAAAAAAAACTGCAGATTCAGTGCAGCTAAGACATGGCATTGCAGAGAAAAATTCTTCTGTCTTCTTTACCAGATTATTTGTTTAGATAAATTTTCTCGGAAAAATTTAATCAACCAGAAGGGTTGTCTACTAGCTCTTTAATTCATTCCCATCACCGACCTGGATGGATTCAAGCAACTAATACATATAAGAGGTTTAAACCATACCTAGAGTCCATAAATAACAAATAAGAATAAAAATATGGAAGAAAAAGATTAAAATTCCAAAAAGAAAAAAAAGTACTCTCTTGGAATTAAAAAATAAGTGAGAAGAAACACAAAAAAGGAAGCTCAATTGGCAGAATTTAGGGAAGGAGTTATCAAGTAATTTATGCCTTCATTGTGGGTTTTAATTCAAAGAAGAAGATCACTGATCACAACCAGAACATACTGCAAGCTTATTCTAGAAAAAAAAAATTGATGTGAATGTAACAAAACCAGTATTTTGCATCCTTAAAGAGAATCTTAAGCGCATCTCCAAAAGTAAAAATAATAATTGATTTCCCGAAAAAATTGTTCTTGAACTAAAAAATAGATTATGTACAAAAAAATATCCGAGTCATAGTTATCATCATATCAAACACTACTTTGTCGGTCCCAAGTCCCAGTTGTGAAAAGTGAACGATTGTATTAGGTAGTGGACATCCAGTCTAAAATTTGTCGAAAAATCATGACATGAATCATTTAGATCCATGTGCAAATGCTAGGGCGTCCTCTAGAAGCCGCACTGTATGGTCTGAATACAGTAAAAAATATTCAAGGGTTGCTACATCGGTGCCCTGGTGTAGTGTAAAATAAGCAAGGATTCCCACATTATAGACGAATGTGGGTAAAGAATTTAGTCCATGAAACCAATATTATAATAGAATCTTGAAATATAGGTACACTTACAGGTAAATTAATGAAATTAGTTGACATTATGGTTCATAGAAATATAAATATTTTATGTATTCAACAAACTAAATAGGTTGGAGAAGATTAAGGAGATTGATAGCTTTGGTTTTAAACTTTGGTATTCAGGTATGAATTGTACTAGAAATGATATAGATGCAATTATAGATAAGAGTTTGAAAGATAATGTTGTAAAAATTAATAGAATTTGAGATAGATTAATAGAATTTAAATTAATAGAATTTGAGATAGAATTATAGCCCTTAAAATTATTGTTGATACTAAGATTTTTAATATTATAAGTGCATATGCTCCTCAAATAGGATTTGATATAGGTTCTAAAGAAAAATTCAGGAATGACTTAAAAGAATTAATACAAATGATACCACTTGAAGAAAAAACTTTTATTTGAGGAGATTTAAATGGGCATGTTGGTGAAGTGGTTGAAAATTTCAGAAATATTCATGGTGGCTACGGTTTTGAAGTGATTAATGAAGAAAATAGAGTCATATTAGATTTTATTTTAGCGTATAATTTTGTTATTGCTAATAATTTATTTAAGAAAAAAAATGCACATATTTTTACTTATAAGAATGGAGCTAATAAAACACAAATTGATTATTTTCTTATGAGAATAAGATATCGTCGTGAATGTAAAGACTGTAAGGTCGTTCCAAGTGAGAATTTATATACTCAACATCAATTATTAGTTAAGATAAAGAGTTGTAAGATAAATAATTGTCATAAAATTAAATTGGGGCACCTAAAAAGTACAAATAAAATTAATTTTATGAATAAACTTCAATATTTTAAGATTTGGGAAGTTCATAAAGAAGAAAATTCTATGTGGAATAAAGTAACAAATAATATTAAATACGTGACAAAAAATATACTTGGAGAATCAAAAGGAAAAAAATTTCTATAAATAAAAATAGTTTGTGGCGGAATAATAATGTGTAAGAAAAGTTAAAATATAAGAAGTTGGGTTATAAAAATTAGTTTAAATGTAAAAGCTTAAAAAACAACAAAAAATATAAGGTGAATCATAAAGATTCTAAGAGAACAATTTGTGATGCTCACAATTTTGGTTTTAGTTATCTTCATAATATATTAGATCTAAAGAAGATGAAAAATATATGTATAAACTAGCCAAATAAGAGAAAAAAATAAAGATTTAACTCAAGTAAAGTGTATTAAAGATGAAAATCAAAAATATTTTTCTTAGAAAAAAAATTAAACATAGATGGCTAAACTATTTCGATAAACTTTTCAATGAAGTTTCTGAAAAATAATATTCATCTTGGTGATCTTAATATAGTTAATAATAATAAAAAGCTTTATTTTTATCATCGCATTAGTAAAAAAAAGAAGTAAAAGAGACTTTAAAGAAAACCTAGGGTGGAAAAACAGTATAACCTGATTATATCTCAATTAAAGTGTGGTACTATTTAGGAGCTTTGAGAGTTTCTTGGCTTTACTAAACTCTTTGATATTACTTAAAATTAAAAAGATGCCTAAGGAGTGAAGGAAGAGTACTTTGGTCCCCATTTTTAAGATTAAAGGGGATGCACAAAAATGTGCAAATTATAGAGGAATTAAGTTGGTTGATAGTTGATATGTCATACTTTAAAATTATGGGAGGGTAATTAAACATAGGTTAAAACGTATTACAAAGATTTCTCATAATCAATTTGGATTCATGACAGGCAAGTTTACAATGAAAGCTATACATTTACTGAGATGTTTGGTGGAGAAGTATGGAGAGAGCAAGGAGGATCAGCATATGATTTTTATTGATTTAGAAAAATCTTACGATAAGGTTCCAAGAGAAGTCCTTTGGAGAGTTTTACAGAAGAAATGTGTTGAAAGACTTATATTCAAGCCATTAAAAATATGTATGCTAGAGTTGTTACTTGTGTTCAAACAAAAGGAGGACTGGCCAAGTAATCTCATATTTCAGTTGGATTACATCAGGGATCGACTTTAAGCCCATTTCTTTTCGTTTTAGTTATGGATGCTCTTACTGGACATTTACAAAAGGATGTATCTTAGTGTATGCTTTCTGCTGATGATATTGTTCTTGTAGATAAAACTAGAGAAAGAGTTTGGGAAAAACTTAAATTATGAAGGTCTACATTGGAGTCTAAAGGCCTTCGTTTGAGTAGATCTAAAACCGAATACATGAATGTAATTTTAGCATTAGTAGCTCTAGGGCAGAATTGTAACTATAGGTGATCAAATCATTAAAAGGTGTGAGGCCTTTAGATATATCGGGTCTCTTGTTCAAAGTGATGGTGATATAGATGGGGATGTTATTAGAAGAATTCAAGATGGTTGGTTGAAGTGGATGAATGTATCAAGACTATTGTGTGATAGAAAAGTACCCCTTGGCTAAAAGGAAAATTGTATAAGATGGTGGTCCGACTTGCAATCCTCTATGACACAAAATGTTGGCCTTTATAAGATAAACATAAAATAAAGTTGTGTGATGCTGAGATGAGAATGCTTAGGTGGATGAGTGGCCTAACACTTAGAGACAAAATGCGAAATGAATATATCCGTGACAGGGTTGGTGTAGCTCCAGTGACAGAAAAGATTATAGAGAGTCGTCTTAGCTGGTTTGGTTATATCATACTCCGACCATCTGATGATCTGAATGGAGAGTAAATGTTTTAGATTTAGCTTATGTGAAGAAAGGCAGTGGTGGACCTAAAATGACTTGGGCATATTATATAAAAAATGATCTTAATTTATTAGAATTAAATGAATATATGACACTCAATAAGACGTGATGGAAAAAAGGATTCATGTAGTCAACCCCATTTAGTGAGATAAAGGTTTCTTGAAGTTGTTGTTGTTCTGTTATCATCATATCACATGACAAAAAGCTTGCGAGTTGGATGTTGATGATGAGACCTTCAGTGTGATAAGAAAGAATTGCTCTTCCAACGAGAGACAGTAAAGTATTGAGAATAATAATGGCACATAAAAATTAGATTTTTCATGTCATTTGGTGATTAAATGGAAAAAAGAATGCTGCTTTTCTCTTGCTTAGCTTTACTTTCTTATTCATTGGAAACACAGTTTAAGTAATGACAGAAAAGAGTAAATGGAGATAAGCCTTATAAGCAACAATTTCCTCTTTGTTGTTACCTCAAGTCCATGCTTGAACGGTGCAATGCTTCCTGTACACTATCTGACATATCAATAGAATCAGTATTGGTCGGAGTGTCATGCAGATTCTCTGCATTGAAGAGTAAAATAGAGTTTTCAGCCATTTTCTGCTTCTCTAAGTACTTGATGTCGTTATGAGTGCAGAATTGCTCCATATCTGGAGATTTCACAGCCTAAGCAGGATGACACGTGCATTAGCTAAATCAAACATGAATTACCAAGCTATACATATGAAGAGTTGAGCAATTCACACAAGCTAATGTCAAGCCCAAAAGTTAGTCAAAGTTTAGCAATATGATCAGCAGAACATTCACTAGAAAACAAAGAGACGAACCAGAGAATCATGATAAAGTTCTGGGTTACACACCATAACAACAAATTGCACCAACAAACCAGGGTTCGACGAAGCCATAACAATAGAAAACAAGGCATGAGAAGCATGCCAGCATCTTGAAAGGGGAAGAAACCGAGAAATAGTACAACAGCTAAACTAAGGCCAGGAAAAACTACGCTAACAATATAAAACGATAACAGAAGCAACAGATGTCATGACTATGGCTAAAATCTCATCATTTCCTTTCTTCTCTCCGAAAATATTTAACAAGCACTCTGCAGATTACAGGTAATGAAGTAGAAATAAGAAATTATTTTAGAAGGAAAAACCAGAACATGCAGAATGAGAAGCAAGAAACCAAAGACCACAGCATAATTAGCAAGCCTTCAGTTCCAAATAACAATGACGTACTTCAGGAACCAAAAGAAATGCAGCTAGGAAAGCAAAAGTCATGCATCTTTAAAATATATATATATAAATAAATAACAGCCTCCTTATTTATCCAAATAAAAAAAGTAACAATAGAAACAGAAAATGAACTAAAGGTTGACCACATAGGCTTGCTCATTACCTCTAAGGACTGCCTTTGCATAAACTAGACTAGAGCATGATTCTATCTGGTGCCCTAGACACAGCATAGGGCCACAATAGTGACATTTGTCGCCGTATGAACCATGGGGATGCCCTAGGTTGACTCTCTTCTCTACAGTGACTCATTATTGCCCTCAAAATCCATGCACGCCACATCAAATTTCAAGAAGAATTTGTCAACATGTGCTCAGACCCATACAATCTTAATTCACGTGAAGTCCTCAGTAGGCCAATCTAGCAGTAATGTTATGTTTTTTTCTTGAGAACCTAGCCTAAGCCTGCGGTTAGACTCACAAAAATGAGGGCTGCGTCTAACATGATAACCACACAATGACCACGCTGCCTATTTGTACATGTCTTGACTAAACCTTTGATTGAGGAACAAATTCCTACTCTAATCCTAATAAAACACGTTAGCCACCCAAGTTTGTCAAGCAAGACGCATCAAACTCACATGAGTTGACCTTACCTTTGAGAAAGAAAAGGAAACACATGGATCCCACTTCTAACCAAGGTTTAACTAAAGTCAAACCCTTGTGAATATCTTCATAAATTTGAATCAAAAACCCTTGTATCACCCGACAAAGACCCTATCTTCAGTCAGACCACATCTTACATAAGTCTAATAGTTTGACCTAAATTGCAAGACTAAAGATATACAAGGCCAAACCTTGTACTAAAATTTGGCCAAGGTCAAACCATAGGGAACCCAGCCTTGAAACCAAGCTTAAGTGTAGATTAACCTACTTAGGATCCATTCAGTCAAAAATCTCTTGCACTTATGTCAGATGGGATGACTTGATGTTAAGAATGATTAGTGAACCCAAATAAACACCCCTGGCAACTGTTCCACCAAAGTCAACCTTCTGTCAAATTTTTTCTAAATCTAGCCTATGCTTTACCTAGACCAGCCAAGACACCCAACTCTAACCAAGCCTAGAACCTGTGGACCCACACTCAAATGAGACTAAACTGTCCTTACGGAGTGAATGTAGCCCAACTAGCCATAATTAGCTCTAAGATTGGCCCAAACGCATGATTTGATCAAACTGAGGTACATTCTTTGAATTAAGTCATTTTCTTGATCTATAGGTACATCCATTGAGTTAAGAGCTTAGAAAGTTAATCTGTTGTATATATATATATATATATAAATATAACAGATTAACTTTTTAAGCTCTCAACTCAAAGCCCAATCGAGCAGACTAGGCTCATCCAAACTTATCCAAGCTTTATGATCCATAAACTACTTTCTTCAACTAATAAGATGTTTCATCTTGCCCTAAGGCTTCCCTAATAGCTCCCTGATAACCTAGGATGAGCTTAAAACATCGTGAACTAAATTAGGAACCACCTAAGAACTAAAAGCACTCCCTCTCAGCTTAAATCATTAATTGCATCCTTCCAAAGTTATAAGTAGTAAGAGAGAAAATCTCAAAAATCCCTAAGCTAACCCTGTTCATCACCTTAAAACCCAAGAAAAACATAATCAGAGCTAGAACTACAGCAATCCGTGATCTCCATTCAAACAAAGGAGATCATTTATCTCGAGAGCCAACTAAGAAGCTACTAGAAAGTCCCTAATCAGCACAAAGGCTACAACTTACTAGGACAGCGGGTATACCATATATCCAATATTTTCAAAGTTGTAACACAATTTGTTGTTTCATTTATTTCATTTATTTTGAATAGATTTTCATTACTTTCAATTTATAAAAGAGTAAAAGAGAAATCACAAAATACACTGAATGAAAATTTAAATCATCCAAAAATAATAGCAAAGTCTGCAAGTAAAACATCTCAAACCAACATACGACAATATCACTACTCAAAAGTAAACAGTACAATAACTACAACCACAACACACAATATAATACCTTCAAGCAGTAGTCATCCTCCTGTAAATTAAATCCCTCATGTCAAACATATCAATTTACAATTTTTTTCTGAAAAGAAACAATTATATTCAACATTAAATTACTTTTATCACAACACTGTCTGATAACTTAGAATTAACCAAGTCAGGAATTACAGTTGAATGGTATTAACATCCCGTTGACTTTCCACATCTTCAAAGTGAAAAACGTAAAATGAAGTGATACTTTTAATAGCATTAATGAGTCGTATATCATATACACCTATCATGTGCATACAAATTATTTTTATTAATCAAATATAAAGACGTCCGGGAATTATTTTTAGCATAATAATGAAGTGATATAAGATTAATTAAAAGCAAGAATATATTCAAGAGATTGAGTAACCTGTTATATGTTGAAAGAACGAGACTATGTGAAGCAAGAGACAATTTAAAATATGAGGCATCAAGAACTATTTTTGAAAAGAGGATTGTGTGAGAAGCTACCAACACCAAAAAAATATTAATGAAAAGTGTATAAGAACTAATATGAAAGTGAGTGTGAAGAGAAGACCCACTAAGAGAAATTAGCGCATGTGGAAGAGAATAGAAAACCAATAAGCAATTTATCAATGACAATGAGAATTAGTGACAACCAAACAATTGTGCTTAGTTATTGTAATAGATATTGAATTGAATTATGAAAACTAAACCAATATTTCACTTTTAGTAGGAGCCAAAATAATGGCATAATAATAGGACACAGCAAAACAATATAAGACACATTTTGCTACGAGCTTGTGCTTCACAATCAAACAATATGCAGAGCTAACACATCATTTTGCCCTTAAAGCGTAATTATGAGTGTGCATCTAAGAACATTGTATATATTTTAAACCCTCAAAATTATGTTGCTTATGTCCTCCTAGGTTTTGAGCCTCTGCATACTCTCTTTAATTATAGCGTGGCTAGATATGAACTCACCAGTACAACAGTAAATCGATCCAGTTATCTAGACAAGGGATCCCTCTTGAAAGCTCAATTGGCTTTCTTCCAGCTCATTGAAGCAACTTTCCATGTTGATGATTGATTCCGATAGCCACCATCCATACCCATTGAAAAAGATAGCAGCGAGGGCTACCAACACATCCCTCTACTTGGAGAGCTCCCACATAACTCAACGAGGGTCCTCTAGCTACAAATAAGGAATGAATCCCCTTTCATTTGATTTAAACAAATATACATACTAAGTATATTGGAGATTAGTGAGATGACAGAGAGATTGAATATGAATAGCTTGTTAGTTCAATTGCATCCCTACCATTCATCTAGTATCTATCCATTCAGTTTAATTCTACATTCGTTCTTTATTTTAAATAAACCCCCACAAGTCCTGCACTCCAAATATAGCCACATAAGATATAATGCATTGACATGCAATTATTGATTCTAAAAATCAATTATTAGGAAAAACATCAGCTTTGACCCAAGTCATTTGATGAAAAATAAGCGATTAAGAACTTGCTAAACACAGAAGATGATAAAAGAAGAATTTAACAGAATTTTGAAGTTATTAAATCTTTAAGACTTGTAAAAACTCATTATATTCTAAAATAAAATTTAGAAAAATGGAAAAAAAAAAGCAAAATATTCTTAAAAATAAACTCTAATTGGTTCAAGTACACTTGCCTCCCTAAAGTTAGTTAATACTACAATATAACTCTTAAGTCTTTTTTTAATATTATAATTAACTCTTACTTCTAAAGCTTTCAACGAATGAATTAAAATTAACAAGAAATGTATTATCTAACCAAAAAGGAGGCAAGTGTAGTTTAATAGCAAAATCCAAGTATTTGAATGTTTGCATGTCAGGTTGCCTTGCCCATAGATCAAGCATAAAAGTCCCTAGCTTTTCACTTAGGGTGTAAGTCAATCTAGCTCTTCACTTGGGCTGTAAGCCCACCCAGCAGGTAGCTCTTCTTTTAGAGTTGTAAGACCTACATTGGTCAGCCTTTTCAATTAGATTATAAGATCCAGCATACTAAAATATTTCAACATCAGAAGCTTCCTGTTCTATCAAGATTAGGTTATAATCAAATAAGAGACCACTCCATAACATTAAGGGTACTTGAACCTTACATAACCTTCTTTGCATTAGACATAGATGTAAAGTAACATATTTTGTGATATTATAAACCCCACCTTAGGAAAGTATTCTCACCAAGTTGGACTGTCAAAAGTTGCTCTTAGGGAATCACTCTCTTTCGAGTTGAAGCATTTTAAGTCCCACCCCATTCTTCCTCTTTCAAAGTTGTAGTATTATATGGGCTCATGTCAACAGCTCTCTCTAGTTGTAGAATTGCAAGTTTCATCTTCAGGTAATCCTCTTT